ACTTCTCGTTTCATGCGTATCCATAGTGCCAATTCGATTTTATTCTAAAATTTCGATTTTATTCATACATCATTCCATTCTGTATTATTATAACATATACCAAATATAAAATATATTTTTATAAAATAATAAACATTATTAACATTGAATCAATAAATTAATATTACGTTGAATAAATTACTACATTGTAATATGTATATAATATAATTTATCAATGATACAAAGTTATTTGGTATTAATTCAAAATGATAACAAACAATTTGTTTTAACAAAATAAATTGATCGTTATAGTTTTGAAATATTTGCATCGCATGGATACTTCAATTGTCAATGATCAGTCAACGTGTTAATATTATACGTGTTAATATCAAGATTATTATCAATTATTCCTTTCATTCACTTTTGCACAATGCAGGTGGAGTTTATGTTTACAAAGCAGAATAAAATGCCGTGGATGGATTACGGTCATCAATTAATGAAAAAACTTGACACCTCCAGTAATCAAGAAGAATACGAAGAATACGAAATAGTTGCGAATGAACCACTTTCGAATCTAGTTCATTTGTTAGTCGTTCGAGCGAGAAATTTCTTGCAAATTTTACCTATTGGCAGGCACGTAATGGCTCAATTGAAAAACATGAGTGAATATCGTTTTTTTTTTCTTTTTTCGTCAATAAAATCTACTCATATCAAATTCATAGTTCACTGACTGATAAATTTGAAAAATATAAAAAATTGATAAAGTGATCCTTTCTCTAACAACGTAGAAGGTGTCTTTCGTTTGTTATTTAAATCACTCGCTTTTTATTCATACCCATAGTTTTACGTGACATTATCTCTGTATGATTAATTCGAAATATCTTTTGATGGAAACATGCAACTTTCGTTGCACAATATAATTTTTTCAAAAATAACTGCTTAATAAATTTGCTTTTCTCGAGTGACAGTTTCGTTGTGAGATAAACACAAACAGCTTCAATGAACATTATTTCCTTTTCTCTACTCTTAATGCGATGAATTAATTTAATTTAGTGTTTGATGAACGTGTAAGTCCTGTTACTATTACACTAATATTCCCGATTAACTCTACCGGGATCAATTTTTTATATTTATACTAAATTCACCAGACCACGATACAAACAATAATACAGCCTAATTTCCAGGTTTATCGAATTAATTTTCAGATTTATTGAAAAGAAGGTCGTCAGTCAAAAATAACTTTGAAATTGCTTTCAGAAAAAAAACCATTGCGATCGTATACCCCTGTCCCGCCGTGCCTTCACCCTGACGACATGGCGCCGAAATATACAACCGATTGCCTGTGTTTCATGATCAAGAAGTATCCAAATGGTGCTCTCAGTCCGGTGATAACAGGTCTTCAGACTGGCCAAAGCCTACTCTTGAGCAATGCTCAAGGTTCCTTCATAATAGAAAACTTTGATCGTTATCCTGTCATTCACATGCTTGCTGCTGGCACAGGACTAACAGTGATGCTTGGTATCATTCAACGAGCTTTGGTCAGACGCAACGTGTCAGTATTCCTACCATTTTCTAAAGTATCTATCTTTTTTAATACATCTGGAGAACTTATTATACAGAATTTGATCGTTTGTCTCTCAATTTTTCTGAATTTTGTTACGTTGTAAGGTTTCCTCGAGTTTCTGACACTACTGTGTCAAAAATCTGAATTTTTATTTGGCATGGATCATCACCTAATCCTTTTTCTGGAGTCTTGAATTCTTATACATACTTTCATAGAGATCTGTTGCGTTTTAAATTTAAGTTTAAATTAAAGAAATTTACATCT